TATATATAAAACATTTTTTTTTTTGGAACTTGACATATATATATATATATATATACACACACACACACACGCATATCATTTTTGTGTTTTTGAGCAATTACATAAATTTCAAGACATTCTGAATATTGTGGAAAGACTAAAATTTGTAGCATTTTGCATTCATTATTGCAAGTATTACATAGTTTTTTGTTTTTTTTTTAATCCCAAATAGACAGTGTGTTGTTTGCTATGAGCATTATAATGCTGTTGGTTTGCTTAACACATCGACACCTAGACATTCTTCTGAATGTGTTCTTGGCTATCGCTGTGGACAACCTTGCCGACGCAGAGTCTCTGAACACAGACAGCAACGATAAGAAGAAAGGGTAAATGATAAAACCTTGTAGAGGTCATTTAATCAGCCGTTGAGGGCCAGAATCTAATTTCCGCTGCTTGTGTGCTGCATTTCTCAGTGTGCTTCTTTTCTTTTTTTCCAAGTGATGAAAATGAAGATGATGCCAAGGTAACTTGCTTTTTTGTGTTTGCATTTTATATGCTTTTGTGTTAGTAGTAGCATTTAATAATGTTTGTTTCTTCTTCAGGCTGGAGAGGAGGATGAGAAAGACAATGCAGGTAAAGAACTACTATACATCTGCATCTGGTTGCACATTGAAGACTATATTTTTAAGTATGCTTGTCCTGATCATCGTGTCCATGTAACAGAGGAGGATGAAGATGAGCCGGACATTCCTGCGGGGCCCCACCCACAGATCTCAGAGCTTGTTAAGAAGGAGAAAATCACTCCAATCCCAGAGGGCAGTGCGTTCTTCATCTTTAGCAGCACAAACCCGTATGTGTCACATTGAAGTCTGCTCAAACATACACTGAACTAGACAGAAGCAAAGAGACATGTAGACATTTACATAAACACGAATGCGTTACATTACATTTATGCATTCGGCAGATGCTTTTATCCAAAACTACTTTGTAGTATTGTATTCGAGGTATTCATATCCATTTATGCATTTACCCATTTACCTTGGAGTTTCCAACACTATCCTCTACTATTTGAGTCAGAGTTATTTTACTATTATTAATATAGCATTATAGCATTTATTAATATTTTGAAGTGGATTTTATATTTATATTATCAGATTTATTTTAAATAAAAAGAAACGTTGTGTTTTTGTTTAGTTTTTTTTTTTTTTTGATTTATATTTAGCTTTCATTTATTTATATTTTGGTTTAAGTAATTTGAGTAACTGATTTGAGTAAAAGTATCACCATTTGTAAAAAATCTGAGAAAATGTAAAATGACAAGAAACACTGTAATATGCATTATTTCATTCAAATTAGTAGACTTTTGTGATAAAGGAATTATTTAGATGTTTGGGCAGAACCTGTCACAGAAACTTTGTAAATTTGTTCTTCAGATGTTTGTTTTAGTTGCCAGGAATGTGTCACCACAACATTTATTTTTTTCCTTTTGGACAATACAAGAAAAACCTGAGCATGGGTCAGACTGTTGTTTTTGCATTTAGATTTAATCCACATGTTTCTTATTAATCAAAGTCACATACACATGTAAAGCTTCTGGACCTTGAAAACACACAGTGTTCAAGATGTGTTTCAAGTGTGTCGTTTTCTCTCTCTGTAGAATTCGTGTCGCGTGCCACAAGCTGATAAACCACCACATCTTCACCAACCTCATCCTTGTCTTCATTATGCTAAGCTCCGCCTCCTTGGCAGCTGAAGACCCAATCAGAAACTTCTCTGCCCGGAATATTGTAAGTACAACTTGCACACACACTATGTTAAGATTACTTATTAATGTCCAAAACATTAATTAATTCAACTAAAACAACATGGTAAGTGATATTTAATCGTTATCAAGTAAACTTTTGATTTTCACATGATGTGAATATTGTAAAATACTACTTTTGTTTAGTTTTTTTGGTTAAGAACTACTCGGTGTACTCAGATTGTGAATATAAAAAAAATTTGAATTAAATGAGCCATCCAAAGCATTTACAGACAATAAGAGATATTAGTAGAGTTGTATATGACTAGTTGCTTTGTGCGTCTGTTATTCCTTCATCTCTTCATGTTTGCAAACCCTTTTATTTCAAACTAAGGGAACTACCTTCACTGAAACCCTAATGTTTTTGTGGTGTTACCGTAACAGACACACTGGTACACCTGGAATAATGAACTAAACTAAACAACATATATACCTACAATTCTAAAGATATTTGTATTCTGGTAATAAATGATGATTGCTGAATGTCCTTGTTAAACATGTACGTTGCTCTTTGCAGATACTTGGTTACTTTGACTATGCTTTCACGGCTATCTTTACTGTAGAGATCGTGTTAAAGGTAAATGTCCTGCCCTGTGCTGGTGTTGTGTGTGGTGTATGTACAGTAACGCTGTAACCGTCTGGTTTATTCCAGGTCCTAGGCTATGCAGATTATGTCTTCACTAGTATGTTTACATTTGAGATCGTGTTGAAGGTAACCTCTCGGCACACAGGCCTGGCTGCATTATCTCCATGTGTGTCACCTGCTACTTCAGTACTACCTGGCTTGATCAGTCTCTTTTCTTTCTATTTTTTTAAACCATGGCACCTCTTTTACTAAAAGACTAAAAGAAAATAAATGTCTCAGAAGCACATCTTCATCAAAGCACAAGAGTTGTCAGGTTTTCACCTTTCTTTTGGGGAGAACGACAGGGCTTGAGCTCAACCCTGATTGGTCAAAATGGGGTTAAGGAAGGAAACCGATCTGGAGAAATCACACAGGATGTTTCTGTGAAACTAAAATGCTTTTCGTTGAGGAAAGAAACCAATTTCAAAAAGACAAAACTATGCAACTCTTTGTGAAATGAAAACAACACTGCCTCTCTCATGCCTTCATAAGCGATTGGCTCGTATCCAGTCCATAAAAGAGGGGGCAAATACAACCATGCTTAGAACATGGTTCAAACCCCTTGACTGAGTGCATATCAGTGCGATGTGACCTCCAGCGCCGAACGTGGCAGCACAGTTATTTAATATTATTCTGGCTGTGTTCAGAAAGTCAGTCTACAGTACTATTTGTACTATTCCTGCAGTTTAGAGTATCAATACTGTGCACAGTACACAGATTATCTGTATGGCACAGAATGCTGTTTTGTTTTTATTTAGCTGTAATTTATTTTTCAGTTTTAGTAACTTAAAAATGATTTATTTCATTATAGTTTCCAAAGCTGCAATTCTAAGTTTTTCGTCTTATATTTTATTTTATTTCAGCTTTATTTAAATAAGTGAAAAATATTTTAATAGGTTTACAGTAGTTTTAGTTAATGATAACAACACTGATTTTAGCTACATTAAGACAAATCTGAGGAATTATTAGTTGGGTTCTGTGATCAAAGAAATTATTGAGCTGTTTGAACAGATGTTTAGCTTGAATTCATTTTTCAGTTTTAGTTCATTAAAATGATATAAATTAAAATGATAAGTGTTCAGCCAATACAGCAATTCTAATTGCCGGTCAAATTTAAGTTGACATTTTTCATGTAATATATGTACAGTATATTGTATTTTATTTTATATTGTTTTAGTTAGGCTTCTGTGATAAAGAATTTATTTATCTATTTCAACATAAAAACATTGTAAATGTTTTTTTTTTTTTGGACAATACCAGAAAAATGTATAGACTAAGGTCAGACTATCATTCTTTCATATTGATTAAATCTATATATTATGTTTGCAATTGTTAAAGTCACTAGGCAACTACTTTTATTGTTTTAATATCTTAGATAGACATCATTTTTACACATTTGATGAGCACACACACATAGTATTCAAGACATCAAGACACTACCCACAATTCAGTGTGCAAGACTTGACCGTCTTAGTGTCGTGAATGAACCGAGCAATAAATACAACTCATATTGTTTCATAATTACATGTAATTGACACATTTTTGATCAGATTGTCAAAATGTAACACATTTTTATACAAAATTGACAGAAAATAAAGGTAAAATACACACTATGCAGTGTGTGACAACACTATTAGCATACTACTATTTGAAACATTTATCATGTAACAGTTTCACTTATTTATTAATTTTTTAAAGACCTCATTAAATTCGTGTTTTGTTGCTTTTAGTCCATGGCTACAGTAGAAAACAAGAAAACTTCACTTTTATGATTTTAAAGACAAGTAAGCAGTATACAGTGTGTACTGTGCAGTATTTAGTAAATAGTAGGCTAAAATTATAAAATATAAAATTCCGAACATAGCCTCTTGTTTTGTGGAGATATTATGATAAGTGCTGATCTTGGACCAGCAGCTACTACTTAAAAGTTTTGAAGTAAAATTTTCTATGTATTTACCCAAAATTGGTCTCTGATCAGCAGCCTAACGTTAGCGTAACCCAGTGCTTGCCTTCGTGGTGTATGGTTGCATCTGTATTCATATACATTTAGCAAATGATTCCTTTGCATTCATGATTTTGGAGCGACTTGCTTTGGTTTTGGCTGGTCTTTTCTCTGCCTGCTGAATATGAAGTTGCAGTAGGAGCTTCTTCCCCCTCTTTTTTTTACCGAATCTTGCCGAGGGAACAAGGCGCAATGTTCTCAAGAAAAAAAACCGGCTCACATGAATGTGACAGTAAGGGAAGTTCTCATTTCAGATCGCCTGATAGATAGGTTCCCTTTCTTTCTTACTCTTTTTTTGTCTTTTCTTGCTCTTTCGTCTTCTCCTCCTGTATTCCTTCTGTCTGTCCTTATTTCTTGTGTCATAATTTAGGCCCCTTCAAAGCTCGGCAACAAACAGCATGTTTTATTGCCGGGCCCCCTGGTAGTGGATTGTGAAACAGAGCTTACTACTACATTCATGTTGACTCAGGCCGTGAGGGTTTGGCGGAGTTAGTGCTAGGATCTCGCCTTTAGTATAACTCCAAGCACGCCACCCTTAAAAAAAGAGTGATATTAAGGAGTGCATATGTGTGTTAGTGTGTATGAGTGTGTTTTCTGTCTGAGAGTGTGATTTGCTGTTTTCTGGATGTCTTTGGTTACGGTGGAGCAAGTTTTGACCATCTATGCTTGTTTTGTCAGATGACCACATATGGCGCGTTTCTCCACAAGGGGGCTTTCTGCAGGAACTACTTTAATCTTCTTGATCTGCTGGTGGTCGGCGTGTCGCTGGTGTCCTTCGGAATTCAGTGAGTGATTGCTATCCCTTTAAGTTTTACATTATGTGAATGTGAGGTGAAAAAGAGAGACGGGAAAAGCAGCGGGTCATTTCCTGTCCTTTGGGATCGTCTTCTCTGCCATTTTTGAAGGGTATGAACAAATTGACAGAGAATCAGAGAGGTGGTATTTTAAGGCTGCGCAGTAAATTAATATAAAACCGGAATCGCAATATAGTATGATTAGTAAATCCCAAAGAATGAAATGTAATTCAATAAATATATGCACTACGTGCTTTCCGGTTGTGTTCATCTACATTGGAGCAGCTCATGATCCGGTGTTTTCCGCGTCTCATAGCAGCTCCCTATAAATACTGCTTCACAAAAACTCTATCTCTGAATCTGCTTTCAGTTTGGGTCGCTTATCTTTCCGACTTTCCAAATTTGTAATGAGTTAAACTCACTGTTGTCAACAAAAAATAATCTGTAATGATTTTTATAAAATAGCCATAAAAACAGCCATAAAAGTTAGTGTAAATATTAGAGTTTTTACAATTGTACTATAAAGGAAATAATAGTAATAATAATAATAATTATTATTATTATTATTATTATTACCTAAATACTATTTTTATTTTAAAATGAAATATTACAAAGGTAATATTTCTTGTTTTAATACTTTGATTTTGAAATAATAATAATAATGATTTTCTTTTTACAGTGAAATATTGTCATAGTAATATTTATTTTTTTATATTTGTATTTAGTAATCATAATTTTTTTTCTTAAGTACTCTTTTTTTTATTTAACAGCAGAGTATTACAATATGAATATTTTTTATTTTATTTTTATTTTTTTTTATTATTATTATATAGTCATTTTGATATATAATTACAAAACTTTTGGGCCAAATAACGCCACACTACAATCAATTCCAGCAAACCTGGAGCTTCTTCTTTTTTTAATTACATTTTAAATCACACAAAAAAATTGCAGTTAGATTTTTTCATGGATTAGGAGTTCTAAATTGCTTCATTTAAGTATTAGCTTTGCCTCAGATGTTTACTCTCATTGGTTTTTTTTTTATTAATCAATGTGGCTAGCATAGCTTAGATAAACTGGCCTAGATGGCCTAGTTGAGATATTAACGAGATGTTATTTGTGGTTGTTCTTTCTTATGGCACATGCTGGTTTGGTGCTGGTCTAGCTGTTGGACTTGCTGTTCAGAGGCAAAACTTATCATGGCATCATGAAGCTAGTTGCCGGTTAAGCTAGTTTAGAAACCTGTCAAAGACAACAGCGTCATAAGGACTTTAAATCATGGATTTCTTCTTCTGTTTTATATGTTTTTTGGTAACGTGAATGCTCGTGTCTCCTGCAGATCGTCGGCCATCTCAGTGGTGAAGATACTGAGGGTTCTGAGGGTGCTGCGTCCACTCAGGGCCATAAACAGAGCTAAAGGACTGAAGGTTCTGGCCACTGCTTTACTTAGATTTTTGATGATCTTTGATGAATTGTCCTCAGTTAATGGGGCGAAAATAAGGCTTACATGCAGGACCAGTTGTTTAAGCAACTGTAAATTTGACATCTGTCTGACAACCTCTGAGCTTTAACCTTTGCCCTCTGCAGCATGTGGTCCAGTGTGTGTTTGTGGCTATCAGGACTATCGGAAACATCATGATTGTCACCACACTGCTACAGTTCATGTTTGCCTGCATTGGTGTACAGCTCTTCAAGGTAAAATATTTTATATATGTTTTTTTTTTTGTTTTTTTTGTGTTTATGAAATAAGTTCTCAGCCAAGCTGTATTTATTTGATTAAATATACAGTAAAAACAGTAATATTCTGAAATATTATTATAATTTAAAATAATTATCTTCTATTTTAATATATTTAAAAATGTAATTTATTTCTGTGATGCAAAGCTGAATTTTCAGCATCATTACTCCAGTCTTCAGTGTCACATTATCTTTCAGAAATAATTCTAATATGCTGATTTGCTGCTCAATAATCATTTCTTATTATTATCGATGTTGAAAACAGTTTTTTCAGGATTCTTTGACGGCATTTATTTTTTACATTTCTTTTTCTTCAGGGGAAGTTTTACCGCTGTACTGATGACACCAAGTCCAGCCCAGAAGAGTGCAAGTGAGTCTAACTGAACTTTTTCTCATAAAATTTACAATGATTGTAGTAACTTTTACAAAAGGAAACCGCTATTAGAGAGGCAAAAATAAAGTTTTCTCTCTCTCAGGGGAATATATATCCTGTATAAGGATGGAGACGTGAACCTGTATAAGGAAGGTGACGTGAACCTGCCAATCATTCAGAAGCGCCACTGGCACAACAGCGATTTCAACTTTGATAACGTGCTCATGGCCATGATGGCTCTATTCACAGTGTCCACGTTTGAAGGCTGGCCAGCGTAAGCATTCAACAATATAACAGAATATAAATCAGATATAAATTGGAACCTGTATTTTAAAATTTTATTGTGTTATTTTATGTTATTTTATTTTGTGCAACTTAATAAAAATCAGATATAGAATAGCACCTTTATTTTATTTTTTTCATTATTTTGATTCACCTTAAAGGGATAGTTCACCCAAAAATGAAAATTCTGTCATTAATTACTCACCCTCATGTCGTTTCAAACCCGTAAGACCTTCGTTCATCTTGCGAAAAAAAAAAAAAAAAAACTTTATTCAACAATTTGTCTCCTCCGCATCACCCTGTAGCGCCATTTTGGAGAATATCAGCTGGACGTAAACAGCGTATGTTGTTCTGTGTCAGCTGCATCACACGGATACGCTGTTTTCGTTCAGCTCAAATCACAACAACGTAGGAAACAGATCCGGCGTGACCAGCTGACCCAGAACAGCATACGCTGTTTACGTCCAGCGGATATTCTCCAAAATGGTGCTACAGGGTGACGCGGAGGAGACGAATTGTTGAATAAAGTGTTTTTTGTTTTGTTTTTTCGCACAAAAAGTATTCTCGTAGCTCGTTGCTGTCTATGCAGGGTCAGACAGCTCTCAGATTCCATCAAAAATATCTTAATTTGTGTTCTGAAGATGAATGAAGGTCTTACGGGTTTGAAATTGCACATTTTAGTTTTTCTGCACCTCAATATATATCAGATACAGAATGGCTTATTTTATTTTTTATTTTATTTTATATGTTGTTTTATTTTATGTTATATATAACTTTTTATAGATCAGATATAGAATTGCACCTTTATTTCATTTTATTTTTATAGACAATAATATAGATCAAATCTAAGCACATATATTAAACCTTACATACGTATTACATTTATTACTCTTTATGCATCCATTTAAAAAGGAGCAAAAATTCCAGTTCATCAATATAAGCAGTAATCAGAAACCTATTATTTTGAAACCTATTGTTGTGTATCGTTAAATCAGCATTAGTCTGTAATATTGGTGATTTTGAAAATGGCTCAATGTAATTGGATATTGTGAAATGGCTAATAGTTCTGGTATTGCACGTTCTTACTCAGACAGTCGAGTTTCCTCTTTCAAAACCACAGGGGAAAATCTAGCGTAGCGTTATTTCTGGCAGGTCACGTTAGTCAAGCTCGCATCAGCTGACTCTCAGCTGATCCCCATCAACCTATGGGAATACGACACCTATCTAAGTATTCATATATAAGGTCCCTCAGTATTATCAGCCGTTTTCGCATTGCTCAATAGCTAATTACCCTCCTCCATCCCCAACTCCTCCTCTGTCATTTAGGATTCAGCCTTCTGATTCTCCTTTGAATCAGACTAATTCTAAAATGTGTACATAACATTATTGAACTTTAACGATATCTGCAATACATTTATGTTGGTTCTGTTCTGTTTACCCTGGGGGGTTATTGCTGCTCTCCCTGCTCTCATCCATGCTAGGCTGCATGGATGCGCAGGGAGTTCAGGATGCCCAGAACAGAACCATACCGCCAATCCAAACTGTATGCTAATTGTCAATCATCTTTGACGATAGTGGTCCTGACAGAAATTAACACGTGTGTTATTGTGAATTTTGTGTTTGTATTGGCGCTGTTGGTAAGTGCCACTGTGAACTCGATGCCAACAGTACCACGCTGTCCCTGTAATTACAACACCACACTGCTTCAAATGTTCTGTTAGTTTAACTCACACACACACGCACACACACAGTGACAGAATGACACAATATAGCTGTTCCGTAACTGTGGGTGATGAAGTACAGTCGTTTTTCCTTGGCTCTCCTTTCTTTTAGTTTACTTCTACATTTTGTCTTTCCTAAGGTTGTTGTACAAGGCCATAGACTCCAACCGGGAGAACATGGGTCCGATCTACAACTACCGTGTGGAGATTTCCATCTTCTTCATCATTTACATCATCATCATCGCCTTCTTCATGATGAACATCTTCGTGGGTTTCGTCATTGTGACCTTTCAGGAACAGGGAGAGAAAGAGTACAAAAACTGTGAGCTGGACAAGAACCAGGTGAGAGAAGACACTATAAGAGAGTGTGAAAAACCTTTGTCACAAAACCTAGTGTGCTGCTTATCTAGACTTTATTTTTAGGCATCATAGGCTCACTCCCAATGCAAAAGCCTATTCTAATCAGTTTGCAACAAAATTGTGCTGGTTTATAGGGATCCCTCATTTTTAAATCTAAGACAGCATTGCATATAACTTTCACTGATTATTTTAGTATGTACTATTATAGTATTTATTCATATTTTAAATGTAGATTTTTAATTAATGTTATGTTTAGCTTCATTTGTATATTTTTAGTTTTCATTTTACATTTAGTTTTAGTAATATGTGCTTTTGTTATTTTTATTCGTTTTTTAAAGCTTTGATTTATTATTTCAGTTTTATTTTTTAGTAATTTTAGTACTTAAACTCAGTTAGTTGCCAAGGCAACATTTCTATTTTGAATTTTTATGCAGTAGATATTTATTTTTAGCTTTAATTTATTTTTCAGTTTTGGCGACTTAAACTTAGTTATTTCATTTAATTGCCAGTTCAACATTTTGAAGTGTTTCATCTCAGATTTATATTTTATTTGACTTCAGCTTTATTTCAACAAAAATGATTTTTAATAGTTTTATTTTTAGTTAAAAATAACAACACCGATTGCGATGATTCAATGTTAATCTAAAGATGGTGGATCAAATGTAACTATTTTATTCAGAACTGAAAAGTAATGGTGAATAAAATATTCAGTCAGTATTTGTGTGACAGTTTTGTTGTGCTTGTTGTAATTTCATGTTGTTAGCTTAGCAGTCTGCTAACATCAGCTGTGAATGTTTTATTTTAGTGCCACCTATGTAGACAGCAATTGAACTTAGTAAAGTTTGGAACAGAGCCAGTCATTGAGTTTCTACACGTTCTTTGTACTGTATAATGTTTATTTCTGCATTATAAATGATTATGCATATGTGTTGACGTCCACTTAATTAAAAATTTACAGTAGAAAGAATCCATAACACTATATGATAATGTATGTTAATTGACAGAATGAAAAGCATCATTTCATCTGTGTGTTCCTCAGCGTCAGTGTGTGGAGTATGCGTTAAAAGCACGTCCTCTCAGGAGGTACATCCCAAAGAACCCATATCAGTATAAGTTCTGGTATGTGGTGAACTCCACCGGCTTCGAGTACATCATGTTTGTCCTGATCTTACTCAACACCATCTGTCTCGCTGTTCAGGTAACTTTCTTTATTCTTAGATGAGTGCTCTTAGAGTTTAATGTTGAAATAATAATTGTTTCGATTTAAATATTCAAACCCACTTCATATGCTCATTGTATTTAATGAGATATAAATATGTATATTAAGGGCCTTGTATTATTATTTACCTGTACAGTTCATATGAATGACCTCATTGCAGTCCCTATGAAATAAAAATGTTTTGTAGCTTTTAGTTTGTTAGCATTGAAATATAAAAATGTATTTTTTGAAAATATATATTTTATATATTATAGTTATTAACTACATATCTACAGTATATGTTTACACATTTAACATACAGTAATATAATTTGTAAATTCCTTTATACACGTCAAAGATTATTTAAATACATTTTATTTTTATATTTTCAATTTTAGTTTGAGTTTTAGTATTTTTATGTGCTTTTGTCTTATTAGTTTTAAATATTTCTATTTAACTTTTATTTATTTTAGTTTTAGAGAAACACTGGTCTGTAGAGTGTATAGTCATTTTTGTCCAATAAATTTAATAGCATGCATTTCTCTGTCCAGCATTATGGTCAGTCCGAGCTGTTCAATTATGTTATGGACATCCTGAATATGGTCTTCACCGCCGTCTTCACTGTGGAGATGGTACTCAAACTGATCGCCTTCAAACCCCGGGTAAGAAATTCAAACACATAGATACACACCGTATAATCACATAATATCCCATTTGGACATTCATCACAGTGCAGTATAAATACACTTCCCTCCTCAATATATCACTGATAGTAGGTTTGTCATGTTAACTTCCCTCTGCCCCACTGTCCACTTTGACACATGCAGATTTGTGTCGAGAAGAAGGACAGAATGCTAGTAAGCAGCTCAGCGTGATTTGCAGTGCTGTCGTTTTCAGCTTTTCTGTGTGGCGTGACTAGCAGTGTTTCTTAAACACATTCAGTTTTTAAACAGACAACAGTTAAAGACATGCATGAATTTGTTATTGTGTAATATAGTAAACTTTCATATTTACTAGTAATACTTTTGTTTGTGTGCTGATTGATACTTTAATAAATAACCCAGCTAACAGGGAACGTTCTCAGAACTAACAGGCTAGTGATCTGGCAAGCTTCTCTCAAAGTTGTTTTTCCAGTTAACGGTCGAGAAAGTTTGTTCAATATAATAACATTATCAGCACAAAAATGTTACTAAAACATTTTAATTGAATGTTTGTGGAATGTTTTTTTTTTTAAACATTATTTCTTACTGCTTCTGTCAGATGGTTCAGAAAAGTAATATTCTCATGATATTTGCAAAATCATAATTTAACATTCCCTAATTGTTTACTTTAAAATCAGATTTTTTTTTTGTCATTTGATACTATTGTAGTTTTTTTTTTTTATTATTTTTTTCTTTATATTTTCCATTTACGTTTTAATTTAACTAAAGTTTTAATTTTAATTTTGTGCTTTTATGTCATTTATGTTTTAAAAAAATTTGTCTATATAGTTTTTAGAATTTTTTTTCCAGTTTTTATTTTTTGTAAATCAATAAATAAATTTAAAAAAGTTATTTTTTTATATGTGAATTTAGTTTTATTTAATTTTTTATTTTTTTTTTCAGTTTTAGTTGACCGTGGTTCAAATAACAAGAAATAACGTTTTTCGAAACATTTCAAAACTTGTTCTGAGAACATACAGAAATAACATTTTTATAACTTAATTCTTATTAACATAATTTTGTTAGCTGGGAAGCTTAAAAAAAATGTTTTGTTTTTTAATTAATTTCTGCATAATCAGTTATGTACAACAACTAATTGCTAATCATCACATAAATTTCCTGGCCGTCCGCCCCTTTGCATTTCTCAGGGGTATTTTGGGGACGCCTGGACCGTCTTTGATGCTTTGGTTGTGATCGGCAGCATTGTAGACATAGTGCTGAGTGAGATTGATGTAAGTACAGCACAGTTGTAGGCCCTGTCCCCTCTTATATCCGCTCACACACCTCAGCCCTTTCCGTCAGACAGACTGAGTTTCAGCTCAGGATGAGCTCCTTTTCAACTGACAGCTTGTTTCTTTGACTGCTGAGATCTAATATCTGTATTTCTTTCTGTGTGTCCTTCACACCTTCTTTTTTCACCCTCGTTCTTCCTCCATTCATTTCTTTCCCCCTCCTCGTGTGTGGTGTGTCTTTTATTAACAGCATTATTTCACTGACGCATGGAACACGTTTGACGCCTTAATTGTTGTCGGTAGCGTCGTAGATATTGCGATCACAGAAGTCAACGTAAGTACAACCGTCTTCACCTTTCTAAGTTTAGAAGCCTTGCAAGAAAAAAACATTATTTTTCAAATACTGTACATTATTGTAGGTCCTCTATGCCCCGCCTCTCTCAAACGCTTTGTTTCCTACAAAGTCCCTCCTTCCAACAAGCGCAGTCTGATTTGATTGGCCCTATGCACAATCAGCTTGTAACACTCCAAAGAGAAAGGAAAACTTGAAATCGCATCATATGACCCCTTTAAATGTATTTTATATTTTTGTGTGTATTTATCATTTATAGTTATATATATTTGGGGACTGTAAGAAATTATGTTTTTAAAATAAGTTATGCTCACCAAGGTTGCATTTATGTGAACAAAAATACAGTAAAAACAATATATATATATATATATATATAATTTTATATTTAAATGTAATTTATTCCTATCATGGTAAAGCAGAATTTTCAGCAGATTACTGATTTGCTGCTCTTATGATCAATTTTGATTGTTTTTTTTTTTTTGTGTGGAAACCATGATATAATTTTTTTCAGGATTCTTTGATCAGTAAAAAAGTTCAAAAGAGCAACATTTATTTGAAATAGAAATATTTTGTAACATTATAAATGTCTTTACTGTCACTTTTGATCAATTTAATGCATCTTTGCTGAATAAAATAATTTAGTTAAAAAATCTTACTGACACATATTGATGTAATTTTAAAATTATATTTGCAATATAAAGTATTAATATTACTATGAACTGCATATACCAGAAATATGCAAAATTATTAATGTTGCATGACAGGAAAAATTTGCAAAAGCCTAACAGCTGTGACAATATTTTCCCAGTCTCCCAAAACAGTTTCCCAGTCAGTTTCATTTCCTGTAATGGCACTGATGTTTTTTTGCGAGGTTTCTCTAGATGTCGTCTTGAGTTATTTGTGATGTGAATTGAGGTCGTACAACTAACCTTAATAACATTAACAGTCACACTTTGTTTCCCCTGCTTATCTGAAATAAAACGACGTCTTGTGAACCCTGAAAACTCTGATGCTGAAAAAATGACCAAAATCTTTTTGTTGTGTATTTGTGTTGACCATCAATCCGTGGTCTCTCGTTCAAATGTGTGTAAATGCAGTGAGAACTGCAGAAATCCATCAGCTGGTTTGTCTAACGCTTGTTCTTCCATTCTGTCTCCATAGAAACTTGTAGAGGCAAGTATGTAATGTGTTCTCCTGTTTGCTTGTGTTCTGCTTCATCATGACTTTATTCCTGAAGTGCTGAGAGGACAAAAATGTCCTCATCAAAAGTTTGACAATTTTGTGCTGGTTTAAGTGTTGTCATCAAGATCAGTTCAGAAAAAAAAGAACATATTTGTGCCTTGCTGATTTTGTGTAATGAAGTAAAGCTCTCACCGCCTTGGCTTTACTGATTACAAGCCAAATCAGCTTGAATGATTAGTTTTTGTGGGCAGGAAGGGTGATGACTTGTTAAAGGAACGGACCACCACTTTTTGGCATCACACTTAACATAATAGTTGATGTGGAAACTTCAGCACTCCAATTATCTGCTCATACAGATTCTAGTGGAGTTTTATTATACTGTTTTAATAATAATAATAATTAATAGTGACATTTTGAATTAGCGTTTCAATTTAATTTAGATGGTCTGTTTTCATTTTAGTTTTAGTCATTTTGTTATATGTTATAATTTTATCATTAGTCATTTTTATTTCTATTTAGCTTTAATTTCAGTTTCAGTATTTCTAATACTTCAACTTCAACTTTCTTTTTTTATTAGTTGCCAAGGCATCATTGCCAATTTTAATTTAATTTTATTTATTTCAATTATAGAAAACTGTTTAATAGTTTAACAATTACATCACTCTATATTATATTAGTTTTATAATATTAATAATTATGATTTAATTATTACTTAATACATTATATAATATATAACACATTTATATAAATAATTGTATTTATTTATTTTATTTTAAAATGTGAGCAAGAAGTTATGTAGCCTAAAAAAATAATTTTTGTGTTTGGAAATGCTTTTAATAATGACGGAAATGTTTTAATGTTGGGCATGAAAGGGTGGTGCTGGGAAGTGATGGTGTTCTTTTAAGAGCAATGGTTGAGTTTCAGTGTGTGATGTCTTGGGTGGTGCTACTTAAAATCCTGTATCTCACAAATACTGTCCAGTTTCAGACATATAACATAGGGAATACGCACACATGTACAGTATATTAGTTTTGAGTCTCATCTCACATGGCTGTCACTCTGCTGTCTGAGCTACAGTGCTATTTGTCTGGTGTTTCTCATGTCCCAGCGTCCATATATAAATGTATATATGTGTGTATTGTATATGTCCCTATAGGTGTTGTATTGTGGCCATTTTCATTGGATGTGTTGTATTTGTGGAGTCTGGTGTCCTTGTACTGTTTGAATGTGGACGTGTGATCTGTATTAATGGGAGTTGGTAGATGTTTGTGTGTGAGAGAGAGTTAGACAGTGACTGTGTCTTGTCTCTGTACGTGTCTTTGTTTCTTTTTTGTCTGTTTTCCTCTATTTCTTTGTTTGCTGCCGTCTTTGTGCTTTTCAGTGGTGATAAAACCATCAAGAGTTTTCACAAGGTCTTCTGTCAAGTTTATCAGACTAAATTCTTGCAATCTGTTTTAGAAGAACTTTAAAGGGATAGTCACCCAAAAATTGTCATCATTTACTCATGCTTATGTTGTTCTAAACTTGTATAACCTGAAATTTTGAGTAATGTATTGGTCCTTCTTTTTCCATTCAATTACAATGGACAGAAAATGAATGGAAAAGCTCCATAAAGATGTCTTCTGGACATCGTATAATAGCGTTGGGTGAGAAACTTAATTAAATGTAGTTGATCATTCACCTCTTAACTACATCTTCGAGTGAGATCAGTGAGTTGAGAAATGGATCACTGTGATTTGTGAATGAATCATTTAGACTTGTTTTGTGAATTCACATGTTTGTGTTTCACATGAATCTAAGGATTCAAGATTTTCAGTGAATAACAGCTTAAAGTTAATGCATGTTTAAGAAGACCTAGAAAAAAGTCATATGGACCACTTATAGGACACATTTATGATGCTTTTTAGTCATTTGGGAGTTTCACAGTCCTGGTTGTCATTCAGTTTCATGATATTGCAAAGAATGGCCAGGAAATTCTTCAAAACAATCAGGTTTGAAAAGACATGAGGGTGGTTAAAAATTTACAGAATTTAACTATCCCTAGAATTTGTTCCTCTCCTTGTAGAATAATCATTCTATCATTTAAAAGCCTTGTGAAACTCATTTTATCACTAATTGTTTTAGTGGCTTTCTGCAATTATAGATATAAAGCATTAGATCAAAGACAGCACGTTTCTACACAGATGTGTTTTGCTGTCGGAGCTATCATGCTCATATCTATACTCATCACTCCCCACTCAGGGGTATGTGTGACTTTCACCCAATCTTGCGGTGGTTGGAGTGACTGGTTTGCCCATCCCCTGTTGCATGCTGGGATATGTAGCTGCTAACATTAGCTTCATTTTCTGCAGATGGCGCTTGGCCACCCGCTCCATTCTTCTCCGGTCAGTGCCCAAGCGGTGTAGTCCGTTTGAAGTTTAAACTTCCTCTCTTTCAGCACTTCCTGTTCACCTCCAGACAGAATGGCCCTGGAGCTCAGAGCTGATTTAAATAACGAGTAATCAAAATATCAAAGCTGAGCGTCCAATCACTGGCAAACAAAGCAGTAGCATTCTAGTGTACAGAGATGTTTACAAAAAAGGAAGAAGAACACAGGTAGAATCACGTGAATAGAGCTCAACAGTGACCACCCAAGTTGTCAGTAGTCTGGGTTCCGGAAATCTATTTCCCGGTGTTTTGTTTTTTTTCATGAAATTCTTAATTAAGATTTCCAAGCCTTGAATTAGTGAATCAAATTGAAGTCTGAATCACATCTGAACCTGATTCAACCCTGAATGTATTCTCACAGGCTCTGACTCAAACTGAATTGTGTGTGAGCATTAAAAAAAAAGTTATATATTATTATTATTATTATTATTATTAAGTAATTGAACAAGTGTAATAAAAATACATTTATTATTGTTTAAACTATATCACAGTTTTTTTTTCTTTTTAAAATTATCATCATCATCATGTAATAAGTCCAAACTCTACAGAAAATTGAATCACTCAGAAATAAGACATTTTTGTTAAAGTATTGCAAGAAAAAAGTTACAATACTGTGTGTTTGTATCATCTTATGCAGCATTTTACACACAGATAGATAGATAGATAGATAGATAGATAGATAGATAGAATAAAATGTACTGTTCTGATTGGTAATTATAAATACATTTGGCATTTTAAAAGATTTCTTAAAGTGAAATCCAAAATCTGATTTGGCATATATATCATCATTTTACAGTGCTGGAGAAGAGCACTTTGTTGGTGTGTTTAAATGTAATCCCACTGTTTGTTGTGGCATTCTTGCTCACAGAAGCTGCTGTTGAGTTCTGTTCTCTGATCAGATGTGAAGGGCAGCACAGGCTCATTATGACATCACATTAACAATGGCTGTTCAGTGTTACAAGATGCAGTTTATCTTTACATATCTATCTGTAGTCTGTGTGTCTGCTGAGTGACTGTCTCTCTGTTCTGTCTTCCTCAGAGGAGAGAGTTTGAGTAGAGCAGGTGTGTAGACGTCAGACAGGCTGCATGACCTCCATTACTGCTCACTTTTCCTTCCTTCCTTTAAACTTTTTTCTTTAATTTCTGCTTTCCTTCTTTCATTCTTCTTTTCTTTCTTTCTTCTTTTGTGCCACTTATCCATCCTTTCTTACTTATTTTTTCCCTTATTTTTCTTTAAAGGGGTCCTATTATGCTTTTTCACTTTTTCAACTTTAGTTAGTCTGTAATGTTGCTGTTTGAGCATAAAAAAGATCTGCAAAGTTACAAAGCTCAAAGTCCACTTCAAAAGGAGATATTTTATTTAACAGAAATCACTTTTAAAAAACTACAACGAACAACTCGTTTGGACTACAGTGCATATTTTCCGGGATTTGTGATATCACAAATATCGACGAATGGGACGAGACCTGGTTGAGCTGCACTAGAGAAGGCAACGAGTGTTATCACTATGTCGGAGACACGCTAGCTTTCCCAAGGCATTCAACTTAGAGTGGTTACAATCATCCGGGTTTAAATCGCGCTCAAATTGATTTGATCTTGACGCAATATTTACACTGAAGCTCGCAGTCGGCTATGGTAAGGGGGCATGACATTTCCCGCCCAGGCGCAGAGTGGTGCCAATCACAACACACACTGGCCCAGCTAACCAATCACATTTTGTATTAATGTGTTTTTCGAACAACCTAGTATGAGAGCCTGTTCTAGTACACCCCCAAAACAAAATCAAGACTTTGTAAAAGAGCACAATAGGACCCCTTTAATTTCTTGTTTCTCTTGGTTCATGCTTTCCTTCCTTGCTTAATTTTTCTTTCCTTTCTGCCTTCCTTCTTTCCCTTTTTCTTTCCTTCTCTCAATCCCTCCTTCCTTTTCCCTCCCTCCTTTTTTCTTTCCTGCCATCTTTATTTAGTTTTTTCCTTCCTTTCTGCATTCCTTCTTCGAATTCTTACTTTCTTTCTCTCTTGCATTGGACTGTTAGAGTGCCCTCGGGTGGTGTCTCTTTTGCAGGGCACATGCATGGAGATGCTGCGGTGCTGCTGGTATACTGAGCTCCTTCAAGTCTTGTGTTGCTGTTATGACGAGAGCGCGTTCGAGAAAGACATTGTATGTGTGTTAGCGTGTGCACATGTGCCTGACTGCTTAACGCATGCACCATTAATGCTACAGCCAAAAACTGCATCTTATAATTTCTGCTTCTCATGCAAATGTCAATAGTTTAATGATGAGGGATGTCAGCCTGTGTGACTGAAGCCATATCTGTCTGGAGTCTTTCTGCACAGATGAAGGATTCATCTTTTTTTCTGATTACATGCTGAATTTTCTGCCCACTGTGTGAGTGTTTTAATGTTGATGAATGTGTTTTTTGATCTTTCAGAGTCAAGAACTGATCTGTTCTCAAAACCAAATGCTTTGAAAGAGTTTATTTTGTGTGCATGTGAAAACATGTTAATCTTTGCAATAACAATGCTAAATTTAAAGCTGTTCAATTGAGCAAAAATACATTACATCAGTAGTGGTCATTGGTGGACACATTTATCTAATTAAATGATTATGACAGGACATTTCAGAAGCATATTCTGTGCATACATTTTGTTCATCATTACAAAACCAGATATGTTTTGACTGTGTGGTATTGGTTGCTAGTTAACTGTTATGATTAATTCAGTAAATAAATCTGTATGGTAAATAATTCTATTTAATTGTACAACACAGAAACAATATAGCGTTCATCTATTTATAATGCAGATGTCATTTGCATCACAGGGTTGACAATGTTTCTTAATGTAGACACTGAATATAGAGGAATGTAAATTTCATAATGTGGCATTCTGGGTTTTTTATACTTGTCTTTTGCTGTTGCATAGTGTTTTTTTTTTTGGATACGCTCTTGTTTACAAAGTTGTAATTGTTGCATAAGTGTGTGCGAGTCCCTCACTGTCCTGTTTGTGTGTGTGTGTGCGCTGTACTATATGTCAGATGCTGTCTGCAGCTGCTTATGTAATCTACGAGATAGAAATAAGGTTACATGTTATATAAGCCCCTTATGTGAGTCTAGTTCTGTTTGTCACTGGTCACTTTTCAGTCCTTATAAGCAGTTTTGAATGAAAGATTGTCTTAGTGCCCAAATGCAACATAAGATCATTGACACCAGCTAAAATATAACTTTCAGTACATAACAAACCTCAGCTTTTATAATAAATTTAGATAAGATTACATATATTAAGTGTATATCAAATAGATGGAAACTCTTTTATGAAGAGGTTGCCAGGTTTTCACAACAAAACCCGCCCAATCGCGTTTCGAGGGGGTCTCCCGTTAAAAATCGCGTTCCGAGGATAAAATACGCATGTTTTGGCGGGGTTCCCCTGGTAAAATTCGCATTCCAGGGGCTAAATATCACGTTAGTGGGGTCGTTTTTCAACCCGCGGACATGAAAAACAACCCGCGGCAACAGTGTTAAAGCAGCCCAATTCCGCGGGAAAACCGCGGACTTGGCAACACTGGAAGGGGATAGCGCATCAAGAACCGGGTTGACCGGGTACTCGGTACCACCGGTACTTAAAAAAACCTGGTACCGTAACGTTTTAATTTTTTTAGTACCGACTTGGTACCGAAATACCGGGTCTTTTGACAACACTAGATTGTCTATTCTTGAGGTTGTTTGAGCAGGTTTGCTGTTCTGGTTAGAAATGTTATTGTAGAGTTTGTGGTATTATGAGTGCCGGTGAATGTTGTGAATGCATTTTAAAGCGTAAGTGGCTGTGCAAACATTATGTGTGAGTGATTAATTCAGGTCTTTGATTTTAAAGCCCACAGAGGCACCTCAGGTGGATGAGACGGGGGTAAGAAATTCTGCCCCTCTTGGGCTTTTAGCCCAGTTGTACAGTCTGCATTCCTTTTCAGGTTTCCGTTTGAGTTCTGAAATCTTGATTAAACATTGTTTCCTTTCATCTTAACCCACCCTGACTTCGATTTGTTGAGTTTTGGCTTTATATTTGATTGCTTTTTCTTCGTTTGCTTTGTTTGTCAATATTTTGCTTTGGTTTTACATCCTTTGACTATTTTGTCAATTAGGGGAGTGTCACCCAAACGTGACAAACTGTGTGAGTGTGAGTGTGAGTGTGTATGTGTGCGTGCGTATGTGTGTGTGTGTGTGGGGTCGTCGGCCCCTCACGTTTGTGGCGCTGACACTGCTGCATGGTTAAGGGGCCCCTGAAGTCAGGTCAGATTAGATCGGATCGGGTCGTGACCTCAAACTGACCTTTCACCTGTGAGGTTTGGGGGCCCACTGTAAGTTGGCATGAAGTAACTCTGGGTCAAGAGTGCCATGCTTGTGCTGATGCGTGCAGTCAAGTATGGCAAGGTTTGTTTTTTTTGTTTTTTTTTTACCCAGCATGAACCTCTCTACACCCTTCCTTTTCTCTTTAGGATATGCGTGAAACACAGGGTCTCTGGTAGTGTTTCTGGATCAGTCAAACCAGCCTATATGTTCTTTTAATACGCATTAAAGTTCTAAATTCAAAATGTGAATTTTTTTTTAATTTACAAGTTCCAACACACCATGTGCTTTGAAATTATATTGTGCTTCTCTCTGCTGGTCAGACTGCTTTAATACAGCCAGATGCCCTGTGTTTTATCTTGCTCCTGATTGGTTCACTAATGCTGACTCTACCCACACAGAACACTGAAGACAGCGCTCGCATTTCAATCACCTTCTTCCGTCTTTTCCGAGTGATGCGATTGGTCAAGCTACTGAGCAGGGGGGAGGGCATTCGAACCCTTCTCTGGACCTTCATCAAGTCCTTCCAGGTCAGATGTTATTCTGACTTAATGAACTGACAGATAATATTAAATTATTATATAAATATAAAAATATAAATATTATTTTATTTTAGGAACTTTAAATCTTAGTGCTAAAATATTATTATTTATAAATATTATTGTACATACCATAGTAATATATATTTTATGGTCTTTTCTCAGGCCCTGCCGTATGTCGCTTTGCTGATAGCCATGCTCTTCTTCATCTATGCTGTCATTGGCATGCAGGTTAGTTTCATAATAAGGTGTATTTTTTTGCATACATAATGAAATGTGAGAAACACAATTCATGACGTGATTCATGACATGAATTGTGAGAAATGCAACTGCAGAACAGATTTTGTTTTTTGTTTTATTGTCTGACAAATTAATGTACATTTTTCCAAAATACAGCAAAATTTAAAGCAAAACAATTTTGAAATATCAATGGCAACCACAGCCACCAAAAACTGAGTATTGTGCAATACGAAAACGATATGCATAGAAAATCTTTCAGGGTTTTTTATTGTATTGTTTTTATTGTCATTTTTAATGCTTTCGCTTATGTTTTTATGGTCGTCTTATCTATGATAATTAAAAAGAATTTACAATTTTGCTAAATAGCATTCAAGTGAGTGTAGTTGATATCTTGCCTAAAATGCAAATCACCCACATTCAGTGTACTTGGTGACACGTGGTGCAAAAATTACACACTTCACCTTTCAATACAGCACAGTGCAACTTAGTTTACCATCTTTCAGGTGTTTGGGAAAATTGCCATGGTGGACCACACACAAATCAACAGGAACAACAACTTTCAGACGTTCCCTCAGGCTGTGCTTCTGCTCTTCAGGTCAGTGATCGGCACAGTGAAGATGTTAATGGCAAAAGTGCCAGGGTTTTAAACCTTTACAAAGATGTTTTTGCATTTGTCTCTTGTTCTTTCCCCCTTTTTTATGCTACCACTTCATCTTGGTGTTTAAAAAAGCGTTTAGTGTAAGATATATTCCGATTTCTTTATTGTTTGGGGGTAGATGTGCAACAGGTGAAGCCTGGCAGGATATCATGTTGGCATGTATGCCAGGGAAGCTGTGTGACCCGGAGTCAGACCATAATCCAGGAGAAGAGATGACCTGCGGGAGCAACTTTGCCATCATCTACTTCATCACCTTCTACATGCTCTGCGCCTTCCTGGTTCGTACACACTAACTAGATAATAGAGACTTCCTTTTGATTTATTCTACTTATTATAATTACTAGAATTATATTATTTATAATGTTGCCTGTCCACCTTCAAACCTCCAACAAAATAATTTAGCATTTAAAAAATTTATTTCATCTCTTTATCTCTTTATTTTTACCTGTTTTGTCATTCTGAAGCACCAGAAGGATTCATTTTGTTTGTTTTTAGGGTTATTTTTATCAACAGTGTTGTTCTCAAAAGTTGTACGTGCGAATCTAATTAAATATCTTGTTTTAGATCATTAACCTGTTCGTGGCTGTCATCATGGACAACTTTGACTATCTGACCCGTGATTGGTCGATTCTGGGGCCACATCATCTTGATGAATTTAAGAGGATTTGGTCAGAGTATGATCCAGAGGCCAAGTAAGGATGTGCAAATGTGTTTGTCAAGTCATCTATATTTATGTAGTGATTTTTATAGAATACAGATTGTTTCAAAGCAGCTTCTCTCGTATTGTATTGCAGAGGCAGAATAAAACATCTTGATGTAGTGACGTTGTTGCGCCGTATTCAGCCTCCACTTGGCTTTGGGAAACTCTGTCCTCATAGAGTCGCCTGCAAGGTAAGGCACACAGATTTACAAAAAAATGTGTTTGAATATTAGCAAACACACTCAACCCATCCTCTCTATCTCTTTCTGTCTGTCTGTGTTTCTCTATTCCAGAGGCTGGTGGCTATGAACATGCCTCTGAACAGTGACGGCACTGTCATGTTTAATGCAACACTTTTTGCTCTTGTGAGAACTGCTCTGAAGATCAAAACGGAAGGTATATGCATTCTTTGCAGAACTGCTAGTATTGGTTTGGAAATCATTTTAAACATCTTATTCTAATGAATTAGTTCAAAACAGTTCATTTGCATCATTCACAAATGTCATTTTGCATTTTGAGTGTTTTAAGATGTCTTAGTGAAATATAAATATACTGTAGGTAAAAATAGGTCATCTATGTCGTTACACTACCATTCAAAAGTATAGGGTTTTGAGTAAATAATTTTTTTTAAAGATTTTTGAAAAGAAAAAATCTCTTATGCTCACCAAGGCTGGATTTATTTAATCAAAAATAAATATAAAAAAAAAAAAATTTCAAAATTTAAATATTATTTAAAAATATTTAATATTTAAATATTTGAAAACTAAATAAATAAAAAACTACTTTGTATTTGTCTATATTTTAAAATGTAATTTATTCCTGTGTCTGACACTTGAGTCTTCAGCGTCACATGATCCTTCAGAAATCAATCTAATATGCAGATTTGGTGTTTCTAATTGTTATCATTGTTGAAAACAGTTGTGCTGCTTAATATTTTTGTGGAAACATTTTTTTCAAGATTTCAAGAAAGTTCAAAAGAACAGCACTTATTTGAAATAGAAATATTTCAAAAGTTGTCAAGTATAAACGTCTTTAATGTCACTTTTGATCAATTAAATGCATCCTTGCTGAATAAAAGACAATTTTTTTCTTTCCAAAAAATTCTTATTGACCCCTTTTGAACAGTAGTGTATATGGGCATATGTAAGTATAATATCAATAAATGCTATTCTTTTTTGCATTTATTTAGTGAAAAACAGACTGTGGAATAGATTTTACTAAATTTCTTGATGTAAACATTGTATTAAAATCATGGTTCCTCTGAAATCACCCTTAAATCATCCTTTTTAAGCTGTTCCAGAGCAAATACGTAACTATAGCTATCAAAAGATGGAAAATAACCTTTTTTAACCTATAATGCTCAGCCCTAGTTGACGGTATTGAGTAGAAACTCCATTTGTAGTTGTGTTGATAACGTGTGTGTTTTAATCCAGGTAATTTAGAGCAGTCCAACGAAGAGCTCAGAGCTGTGATTAAGAAGATCTGGAAGAGAACAAGCATGAAACTTCTGGATCAAGTGGTGCCCCCTGCTGGTGGTCAGTTATAAATCTCAGAGATGGTCACTGCTAATGGGAATACGCATTCACAACAGAGCATAGACATATAATATTTCTGCGTCTTTTAACTCACACCTTAATCATCCATTTAGATAAAGAACAAAAATATAATTTTTGAACAAAGTTTAGTAGCATGTACACACATATTGTACATTTGGCATGCACACACTAGCTCATACACACACACACACACACATACCAGCTGTTGCACTAGCTTTTTCCTGCTGTTTTACTCTTAGTTTCTCCTGGTCGGGTCTATGCGATGTTTGTTCTGTTCCGTATGTGTCGCGAATGCTCTCCTCTCCTGCTCGGTACCACACTGCGTCCACAGTGGAACCTCAGTGATGTGTCTTTGTGTGTGTGTGAGAGTATATGGGAGGATTTGGAGAAGGTGCGTGTGTGTTGAGCTTTGGGCTTGCATGGCAACTCAGGCATGCTGTGTCCTTCTAAAATTGTCTCTTTTTCTCTCTCTTTCCTACACTGTCGCTCTCTCCTGTATCTGCTTGAGCTTTTCCGCAGCTTCCGTTCCTCATTAACTGTCTTTCTGTTCATGTAAAAGTTCAGATCTTCAGAATATTCTGAAGCAATTCTGTTTTAGGGTGGTGGCATGGAACTAATGTTGCCTCTTCTTTCCTGATCTGTCCCCAAAGTGCTTGTTTAAAAAAAAAAGTGACACAGACCCCTGCTTCAGAATGATTCTCATGCACACACTTACACATTCATGAATACAACATGCAGATGAGCACTTTATATACACATAGATGATGAAAATGCATATGTAAAAGCAGTATATTAGACATGCACCCACAGAAATGCAACGCTAATGTGCTAATACATATTGCTCAGTGCTGCTTGCTTGCATGTTCCCAGTAGAACTTACGCATTTAGGACTAGATTTTAGTGAAGTTAGATGGCTTAGCTGATGCAGTTTTTTTTTGCAAACCCCCCTCCTCCACTCAAACTTTCAGTAATCTCTTTCTTAGTTGCTATGCTAATGCTAATATGCTAATACTAATATGTTTACAGATGTCTGGTGACTCAAATTAGATGGGTGCTAAACTGTGAATATGAAATATTCCACAACTGACATTACATTAAGCTGGTAGCTATATTTTGGAATAAGATAGCAGGTTTCTAGTTGGTCCAAGTTGGTCATTAGCTGTTTTACTAGCTGGTTTGTTGCTGGTCCAAGGTGGTCTATACAAGCTAATAACCAGCAAATTACTATCTTAAACCAGCTAGAATCCAGCTACTGTGTTCCCAAACACAACTAGCAGCTTAAGTCAGATTTCCCTCATATTAATTTGTCTTAGAATTAGTTTTATTTTGACATTTGATTGCTTTTACAATACCATCATTTGAATAAAAGTTTGTAAACCTATAACATTTATTAATTGTAATTATCTATATTTCTAGCATGAATGGCTAGGTAGTATTATTTGACAAACACATTTTAAATTAAAGTTTTGCATATTATATATGTATATAATTTATAATTATTTATATACAAAGTTATTGAAAAAATAATACTTTTATTTAGCATAGATGCATTCAGTTGATTCAACGTTGATAATGATAATGCTTTTTGAGTGGCAAATCATCATATTAGAAGGATTTCTGAAGGATCATGTGACGCTAAAGACTCATCATGTGAATTGATTGCATTTTAAAATATATTTAAAATAGAAATCAGTTATTTTCAATTGTAATATTATTTCACAATATTACTGTTTTTACTGTATTTTTATCAAATAAATACAGCCTAGTGTAGTGCATATGCATTCAAGGTGACTAAAACAGCAAAACACGCTAGTGTTCTGTGATGTGCGGCATATTTTGCTTATGTATGTGGTGTTTGTTAATTAAGACCATCTGTGTTTATAATGTAGACATGGGTCATATTTTAGGAGCCATTTGTGTAGAAATCCAGATAATTCTAAAGGGTTCCTTAACATTTAATTCACAAAGCTGCTTTTCTCTTTCAATGAGTGCGCAGTTAGAATAACACAAAGCATCTCTTAGCGTCAGTTTCTGTCTGTCACCGTGCGTCACCGCAGAGGTGTGTATGCGTGCGTTGAAACTACTTGCTGACAGCGAAGCCGTGTGTGTGGTCTGTTCACTCAGATGATGAGGTAACGGTGGGGAAGTTCTATGCCACTTTCCTGATACAGGACTACTTTAGGAAATTCAAGAAACGCAAAGAGGAAGGCCTGGTGGGCGTTCACCCAGCACAGAACAACACCGCCGTCGCCCTGCAGGTAAGCAAAACGTACTTGGAGATTGAAATGTGTTGATTCTTTAGAGTGTATTAATAAGTTGTATGCTGTTTAATGTCATAATGTTGTTGAATTTGTATTTGCGAGCTTATGTTTTATATACGTTGGTTTTGGACTTGTGCGTTAACACTGACAGAAATTGCATCACTGAAGGTCATTCTCGATCTTTTGTGAGAAAGCCATTTGTTTTTCTTTGTTGAATTATTGTATTGTTGGCACAAATTGTTGTTCTTTAAACATTTATTTAATAGAACAGATATTTATCAAATAGAATTAAATGTTAATGTACCCCAAGGATTCCCAAGTTTTTTTTTGTCAGCCGAATCCTTATAATATTGACCTAAAATATTTACTTACTGTAAAGAACTTTAAGTTAATATTTCAGTTATTTGACACATCCAAATGTTTACAGTTCTCTAAAGTCATGTCACATAAGTAAATAAAATATTTTGTCCTTTTTAGTGTTTATTTTATTTGTTTTTATTTTAAAATTATTATACATTACATATGCTCCTAAATGGCATGTGCAAACATACTGTAATTGCTGTAATTGGTCACTTTACATTTTGATCAAGTGTGCATTTTCATGTTATGTGTTAGTCAAACACAAATCACTGTCAGTGCAAACACCCTGAATAATAATAATAATAGTAAAAATACTGAATAATCTGTATGTCCTTTGCATGAGACCTTCTTTACCTCAACTGTATCTCTCTGTTTCTGGATGCGCTAATGTTGTTTTAGCTTGAATATGGATCCCCACAATGTGATAATGGTGATCTGTAAATGTATTTCTGTCTGTTATACATGTGGTTTGAAGTGTTTGTATTCGTTTACCATCACTTCAGAGTTCTAATTCATGTATTATTATTTTAAGACGTTTTGTTGGTCTCCATCCTCATAAATCAAACACCACTGTGTTTGATTTCTCTGCGAACATAATCTTTGTTTAGAGGTTTTTAGTGTGTTTTTAGTGTAGCTAACCAAAGAAATGTTTCACAATTTTGAAATGTTAGAAATGGTTTACTCGTTTCATATTTCAAAATAGAATATGTGGCTAATATAGTCTTTTTTAGAAAGTCACAGTAAAGGCTAGCATCTCAGTTAAAGTGTATTAGTAGGAGTGTACAATTAAGGAAGTGCTTTCGTGTGTTTTTCCTCTTTGTCTACTGTGATCGTTGTCATCTTTCATGAATTTGTCCTGTCTGGAACTGTCTTCGTCAAGCCTGTTTGTGTCAATGTGTCTGGTAAACTGCCCCCTGGTGGCATGTGTGTGTGAGGGTCTCCGTTTTCAACATGTCGTTGCTGTTCAAGGGTTTTCCATTCAAGAGCAGGTCCTTAGCTATCTTGTCGTCACGGTTACAGGCTGGCCTTCGTACGCTGCATGACATTGGGCCAGAAATCCGCCGTGCGATATCATGTGACCTGCAGGATGATGAGCTAGTAGACTTTATGCCAGAGGAGGACGAAGAAATTTATAGGGTAAATTACTCACCTTTTATGACCCCTTTCTCCTTTTAAAATCGATCTGTACCTTATTGTCTTACTTTAACTGCCTGGTACAAATAAAAGGTTGTTTTTAATGGTAACGATTCCTTACGGGAGTTGCGATGAATTGTTCGCCATCCCTGAAGGTCGTACACACTTAGATTAAGACATTGAATGAGGATAAATTCGCCAAGTTGACAATCTAAAAGGTTGACATTAAAGACTTTATTGAAGATTAGGCAATAGGTACATCTGTATTGCAGGTTTGTAGTAATAACGTTAGCTTTAGCGTAGCATATCTAATCCAGCGTAATCCAGTGTTATCTACATTTCTCTTGATTTCAAATTCAGTTCAGATTTAATCAGTTCATGAAATTCACTCACACCATACGCCATTTTACCTCCTTTCCAACTTCTTTTTCCCATGAGATCATTAAAAATGGCAATCAGGTGACTTAGAATAGGATAAATGTTCAAAGATGCCATATTAAATTTTTCGCAAAGGTTGTGTGGGGTAAAGAGTTTTTTTTAATAGCAAAAATAAATTTTTTGTGTGTTGCATCAGCTAAAGGACAGTATTACAACTGCTGCCTGTACGTCTGTCTCTTAAGTACGATAAGTATAATGATCAAATTTTAATAAATGTTCTAATTCACTGAGAATAGTGAAGTCCACATCATGGCTATAATCAGGGCCGAAATCCCTATTGCCCCCCCCCGCCCCAATTATATATATATATATATATATATATATATATTATTCTTTTCAAACA